TTTAAAGTTCAGTGTTGGACCATTTTCTGTATTTTTCCCATTGCGATTGCATTACTTAACCCTAACCAAAATGTCTAGGCCTCTTTCTGCTTCCTTTTTGGGGTTCTCCCTTTTTTTTTTTGGGTTTTCTTTCCTCCTTTTTTTGTTGTAAGCCAAAGACGAAATAATCAAGTAATGAAACTGCCTGCCACAGAGCATGAAAGATAAGACAGATTTGTTATCTCTGGGTTGGGGCGCCGTCTAAAATATCCTAGCAGACATATTAATTAATCTGTGTTTCTATGGCAGCTGTATCATATTGCAATCGTATCTCCACAATTAAGGAAGTAACTTTCGTGTGCAGCTTATTTTTTACTTTATTAACCATTTTTTTACATTATATTTTGTATATATAAAGTCTAACGCATCTTCTTTCCAACAACACATAATTTATTTTTTACATATTTCAGATTTACTGCGCATCGAGGAGCTGCTTCGCCAGCTATACATCCTGGAATGGGAGGATTGGGTAGACGTCTACGCTGAACATGTATTATTCCTTCCAGAGATTGATGGCAGCACCTGATTTATATATATTAACAGTATCATATATTTGTGTAAATATCTGTAACTCGTATGATTTATATCAAAGTATTTGCTTTAATTGCTGTATGAAAAGTTCGCCGCAAGTTCAAGTCCTGCTGCTGACGCAAAGAATCAGCTGCAAGTGGCGCATTTTCGTTGCATACTTTCGAAATTAATCCACATAATAATTAATTCCTGCATACTTTTGTAATTAAATACAAAAATCAGTGCAATGCAATTAGCGCCGAAATGGATCTTCAACTGAAATGAAGAATTGCTACGAGTCCTTACACATTTTCCTATAAAAGCTTGGATAATTACACTGTTTCGACCGACTATAATTTATGCAAAAGGTAAAAAGTTTTCATCAATATTAATGCCTGGTGTGGCAAATGTGATTAAAGTTGTGGTAGAAATTTTATGGCTGGCAGGAATTGGACTTGAAGTCAGGGTGGCAGTACAGGGGAGGGAGGAGACAGAGTTACACAGCGGCAATCAAATTAAACTTGAAGTGATTTTCAATTGTAAATTCTTGTGACGGCCCTGGCAGACCGCAGTACACTTAAGTGTATTCAAATTAAACTGACGCAGACCAACAACAACAACTACAACAATCGAAGGCAGGCAGACAACAGAACAAGGACCAACAACCAACAACCAGCAACCAACACAGTTTCTCTATGAATTGAAACGGAGACAATGCCCAGCAAACCAGCAGCAGCAAACGGCATACTCCGAATGGGCCATCAAAATGAAAGGCATTGCCTCGAGAGAGAGAGAGAGAGAGAGAGAAAAAGAATGGAGGAGGTGGTCCTCCTTCGGCTCTGTGGCTCTGCTCAAGTGGCAGTCGTTTTAGTGGACATTTCGCTTGTAATGCGTTTGTTGTTGTTGTTATTCTTATCTGATTGTGTAGCTATATTCTGTAAATGGTTAGCTGTCAACGCAACTACAACTCCTTTTTCCCGCCCCATTTTGTCGCTCTTTGTGGTCCTTTTGGCAACGTTTAGCGCGTGTGCGCGTTTTGCGCGGGTTTTGAGCTGCCGGTGATTAGATTGTCTGATACTTTAATAGGATTGTAAGAGCGCACACAGACAGACCACAAAACACGCTCTATCACACACACACACACACACACACATATTGCTTTATTGTTGTGGCTTGGCGTGTTTGTGTTTTGCGCTTTTCAAACACGACTTTTATCCAAAAAATAACTGCTTCGTCAGCTCACAAAACTAGAGCATGTAGTTCAGCGTTATCTATTCGTTATGAATATAGCATTTTATGTTTATTTAAGATTTGATTCCTCGCTCAGCTTAGAAGAGTACGAGTTTATTTAGGTTAAGTCTAAAGCTCTTTAAATCAATTGTAAGCTACTTACCTCAGCACACACATTTCATATAATTTGAAAATTTTGTTATCACTTTATTTGCCATATTTATTTGATTACTGACTTGACTTGAATAAATTAATCCAAATAATTATATTTATGATATTGTAATCAGCTTTTGAGCACTTTCTAACTATAATATAGATTATCCACACCAATAAATATTAAACATCAAAATATTCTATCCGATTGTCATTTGCAGCAATACTAATTTTGCAAAAGCGGCTGCGTATCAAATTTTGAATGCGAAATTGCAATTTGTCCATTTAAGCGGCTTACAAGCTTAAAGTGCGGCACAAAGAGTTCCTCTTCAGTATCAACAAATAGATAGGGAGAGAGAGAGGGAAAGACAGAGGGAGATAGAAAGGGAGAGAGGGGCAAACTGCAGTAAAGTTGTCAGCTATTAAGTACTTATTATTCAGATACAAAATTCAAACAGGCAGACACGGCCAACCAACAAATAAACAGTTAGAGACTTATAAGCATTACATACATACATATATAGCATGTACTTCTACATGATGGATGCTAAAGGATGGAAGCAAGTGCTGCCCCCAGGAAATCAGTATTAAAATCGCATTATTTGCGCCTCACTTGACAGGGGGCCACAAAACTGGAGAATAGTCGATGCCGAGTTGAAAGCTTCAAAAAAGTACACACATAAATATATATTCTATATATATGTAAGTATAAGCAGTAAAGAAGAATTTCAGGCGTTCAGAGTGTTGAGCAAGTTTATAAACCGAACTGCAAATGATGCAACCCTGGGCATCCCCACTGTGTGCCTAGCTTTTGGGGTGGCTGCTTAGAGTTCTTGTGCGGATAGGGGGCATTAACCTCAAAATGCATTTGCAGTTTGGCTGCTGCTGTGTTGTGGGCGGATTGAAAGAGGGCCTCTGCTTGAATTGGCAACTGCAACGAATTCTGTCTAGAAGAGCTGGCAGAGCTGGCAGCAAAAGGCTGCCTCAACTGGCAGCAAAGTGCCAGTAAAAATGAAAAGTTGCACGTTTGCTGCTGGGGCAGCAATTGTGGTTTCTAATTGTTTGGGGTATTTTACACTAACAATTGACCACAACGATGCGCAGTAATTTGAACTTTATAGTACATCCAAAGGCAGCTCCAACAACAACAACAACAAACGTATTGATAAGTATAGAAATTTCCAAAGCCAACTCTCTAAGTAATGGGAAAAAACGAACAAAATGAGCTCATCTTAGCTTATTTGACCTCTCGCTTGAAGCTTATCAATAGCTACAAATGGCGTACCTCTTTTTATGTGTTCACTTTTCATTTATTGAATTTTGATTTGTTCTTATATAAATTATTAATGTTCGTTGTCTGCATGCTGCAATGTTGAGGGCCATTCAAATGGCATCCGGTCCAAATCGGGTAGAAACGGTGGGGGATCATAGCTCCGCCTGGATGGATAAACTGCTAGGCTTAGCTGAAGCCAGCAGGCTATGATCACAATAAGTAATGGAAGCAAAATGCTCTTCATCTGTGGAATGAATCTTAGACACTGCCTGAAACTGATACGCAAGATTCACTTTTAAACGATTCTTTCTTCATGTTCTATATTTAATTTGTTGCCTTATCTCGGGTTGTACCGATCAGGCGATAATTGAGTTGAATCAGACTTCAGCTATAAGTTTGAAGCAATTTAGAATTTTTTTTTTTCAATTTTATTAAATTATAATTTAATAATGATATATAAACGTATTTTCATGCATAGTCAGTGCGAACTTAAGTCCCAGATTCATCTACATCAGCTGAAAGCGATAGAAAAACCCATGAGTTGAATAAATGTATTTAACTGGCAGTCTGTGAAGAGCGCTCGAGCTCATTTATAAGGCTTCGTGCTCGCCGCTTGAAGGCAGGCAAATGTGACAATGAGCTATATTAAAGTGGTTTTTAATCAATTTCTATTTTATTCGTTTTTTCTTCTTTTTTTTTTTTTTTTTTTGGTGGCCCAAGCGAAATAAATTACAAAATGCCACGAATGGGAGGCTACAGCTAGCTACACACACACATAGAAACATGGTAAATGGGATGTACGAGCATGTGCTTAGAGACAGCTGAGAGTTTATTAAAAAGAAAGAAAGAGCCAACAAAAAAAATTGCGACTAAAAATGAAAAATGCTTTTCCGGCAACGAGCTACGAGTTAAATATAAAGCGGTTTGTTGGGCTGCCGAGAAAAACGCTTCACATATACATATGTACTTATGTATATATGTATATGTAGTTACATACAGGCTCACTTAATGCAGATTTATGATTTTAATAAAAGCACACACACACACACACAGGCACACTTGCAAACACACACATGTACTTAAGCCGCAAAGTGTTAAGGAGCATTAACAAATGCTTTGCATGGTTTGGTTTCACAATAAACTTAACGAGCATTACAAATATCTTTTTTTATTTATAAAATATAAGCAAATGTAGGCTTAAATTAATCATATTAATAATGACATAAGCTGACAGTATTTTAGTTTGTTTTGGTTTGATAGAAAGCCGACTTGACGACCTATTTAAACTGTTAATAGGCAAAGTTTGCTTTATATTATGCCTGAAACTGTTAATAGTTGTAGCTTGCAGCTGTCATTACTAAGTCACCAAAATACTCTTTATTTTCTAGCAATTTCTACAATATGTTAGAGAATTCACACTTATCCTGTACAAAGCAACGTTGATCTATTCGCAGTGCCTTAGTCACAAAGTCCTGCTGGGGTTTTAAATAAAAATTTGATGCTGTTGATTGGTTTTTTTTTAACAAAATTTCAAAGTGAAAACGGAATTAAAGCTGATTGCACTTAAGCGGGCAAAGTGCTGAAAATGGAAATGGAAAACCAGTTCCACAGAAAGCATTGAAAGGCAAAGCCAAAAGCGGAAATGTGACACGTTCAACTTGAACGCGCTCTCTGGCAATGGCTGCCACAGCCAAATGGTTCCGATTGCCACAAAAATTAATTTCATTAATGCACGGCGGCTAGCTGAAAATGAATTGAATGAATTGAAAGCGGACATTGCAATTACGCAACGAGCTGAAGTGGGCCATGCTCTACTCCCAAACCCAAACCCAAACGGGAGGTTGGAGAGATTGTGCGCTCGTTTAATCAACACAAATGGATATATACAGTATACGGCAATCAATTTTTATGGCAACTGCCGCTTGAGCGCTGATAGGCGTATCAGAAACTCATCCCGTTCCGCGCGTCGCTGCTCCAGTGCCTCGAGCGGCACAAGCTGTTCGCATTGTCGAGCAACTTCCGCCAGGGTTGCGGCCTCGTCACACATATTCGGCGTTGGTCCATAGGTGGCGCTAACAGCGGCGATCTCGCCACCGAAACGCTGAAAATAATCTCGAACGCCACCGGGTGCATTCAGATGTGCCGTCTCCATGGAGCCCATCAGAGCGTAGCGCATACCCAATCCATCGCTGAGCACACGATCCGCATCGGCGACGCTAATGATGCCATCGGAGACCAGACGCCACACCTCATTCAGTATGGCGTACTGTACGCGATTCGTGACAAAGCCTTGAATCTCCCGTTTCAGCACCACAGGACGTTGACCCAACGCCAGCATTAGGAGCCGAGTGCGTTCCACTGCCTCATCGGTGGTCCACGGTGCAGGCACCAGCTCGACGAGCGGTATAAAGTAGGGCGGATTCAAAGGGTGGGCCACCAGCATCTGTATCGAATATGGAGAGATGAAAGTATTATTTGCTTTATTTGTTAAGTCTATTTATGTCACAGACTTTAGGTTTATGTCATTCTTCGTTCCCTATCAAATCAATCTTTTATAACTTTTCAATAGGTTGATCAATGTTAAAACTTAAAACAAATAAGCATATAAAAACTATTTCTAAGGATTGAAAAAGATCAACCAAATGAAAAGTGTGTGTGGAAGTGATTGAAATACTTTTGCTTTGAATTTAGTTGGTCTATTTTTGAAGCTTCTAACCTACTTTGTAGATTCCCAAATGGAACAGTTACTCAAAGACTTACCTGACTACGTCGCTGCAAATTCTTGCTGTAGAGGGATGGCATAAAAGTGCTCGTTGAGCTGGCCACAACAGTTTGCGGTTCGAGCAGCTCATCCAGCTGGGCATACAGAGCACACTTCAATGCCAACTGTTCCGGTACGCATTCCTGAATGTGAAGAGCATCCTTGGCCAGCTGCTGCAGCTGGGTGCAGCCGTTGATGAGCTCAAATTGCGTCTGGGCCGATAAGTTGCCGCGCAATGTGCCGTTTGCCTCCAGTTGCTGCAACTGCTGCTGCAACTCGTCGAGTGCTGTGGCCACCTGCGACTCCACTATGTCGTACAGCTGCACCCGATAGCCGGCGGAGGCGAAGAGCAGGGCCCAGGCACGCCCAATGAGACCGCTGCCAACGATGCCGATCTTCTGGCCACTCATTTTGTACTATTGTCGCCATATGCAATGCGACAACGAGTTCAGTTCCAAGATTTATCGCTCTCTCTGCGGCTCGATTCGAGTCTCAGTTCGAGTTCGAGTTCGAGTTCATGCGGCATACACACAATTAAAATGCCATTAATGTTAATGACTTGTTGATTTTTTATGCCCTTCATTCAGTTTCTGGGTGTGTGAGGGGAATGTGGATTCGGCTTATCGCTCTGCAATGCAAAGTGAAGAAAAGTTCTGAGACTTATGAATGAAGCCTTAAAATGTATTGTTTTCAAAGTTGTGACAGCAATTTGTTCTTTATTTTTTTAAATATTTTTAATAAATATTCCTCAGCCGCAGTTCAACAAACTCTCCCATTGTAGAGTATAATAAAAATAATATGCTCATAATCACTATCAGCATAATTTGAATAATTATTTGTTTGTTTCTAAATACATTTGCAGCTTACCAGCAACATATACGACAGGTGCACAAGTGCAAACAAGATTTAAAAGAGTTTGTTGAACTACAGCTGAGAAATATTTATTAAACTTTGAAAGCAATATAATTATGAAATTTAATGCATATTTCTGGGTAGCTAATTGATAGTCTCAAGCAGACAGCAGACAACAGCAGAGCTTAAACAGTCCGTGTTTGTTGCAACATTAAATAAGTTCGCTTAAATTGTATTGAGCTGCAGTCGAGAATATATATATATATATATATGTATATATATATATTTTTATTTATTTTTTTTTCAAAAGACATCCCACATCGAAGGACACGTAATGCTCATGTTACGGATTGTTAGTGAAGTGTTTTGGGTAGAGATTTTATGTTGTTCTTGTTGTTGTTATTGCTGTTTTTGTGGCAATACCAGAAAAGTCTGCATGTAATACTTTTATGCATATTTCGCGCATATTTTTCTGACATTGTAAGTGGCTGCGGCTGGCAGCTATAAATTATTGAATAAGCACTCCCGCCAGCAACAACAACGACGACAACAACAGAAATAAAGGAGCAATAGAGACAGAGACAGAGAGAGAGACAGAGATGGAGATGGAGATAGAGACGGAGACACATACATTGGCCACACTGTTTGGTTGCATGGCTTTGGCCGTCGTTTTCATATGTAAACCACATTAATCATACGCCCCGTTTGCGTTTTCATTTACGCCACTGACACATGAAAAACGAACGAAGAAGGAGCAATAACTGTGACGCTGTTAGGCGCTACAGGCCAGGTTAAATCAGCCATGAAATGCCAACTACACAATGAATGAATACAAATAAAAATCAACAAAAAAACAAATACAATTTTGAAATATATATATATATATAAAATATACTCACTTTGAAGCATTGCTTTCGCATTGAATTTCAGTTCGGTTCATTGCATTTAAATGATTGTTAATAAAAATAGGGAAATCAATACGGAAAACGCTTACAATTTGCTTATTTGCTATTGCACAAAGATACAACCAACAGGGAAACCCAACAAAGACCCCCTTCTGAACAATTTGCGGGTATTAACTTACCAATGCCCTTTCAACTCGACTCAACTTGAATCGTTTGGACTCGATTCGATTCGATTCGATTCGCTTTTGTCTGTAAACAGAAATCAAAGTGCAACTTGAGAGCTTAACTACCGAGTATTTCAGGCATGCAAATGAATTGTGAGTACGACAAGCGGAGCAAACGGGGAGGGGAAGGATGTGCAAAGGAAGTGCTTACAGATAGGAATAATTGACGATTCGTTTCGATCTACCCAAAAAATATCATTAAATAATAAGGAAAAACCAATTGCAAATGTGAAGCCGAAGGCAGTGAATCTAAAACTGTAAATTATATCACTTTTTGCGGAAACGGATACGGTTGCGGGTTCAATATCTGAGCCGCGTATAAATTTTCATGATTTTCAGAATTCTGTATCCTAATTAGTTACTGATTCAAATTTCAAAGCATTTCCATAATGATTCGGTGAATTTTTGGGTCTTAATTTTGGAATATCATGCGAAGCACGAAGTTTATCGCAGTACTTGGAAATGTACCCGAAATAAATACAAAATTAAAAGCAATATTTTTTTTGTAGTTTTCAAGCACGAGTATATTCAAGTCATTGACTTGCACTGTTCACTTGCCTTGCTTGTTAGCCATGGCCAATGTCAAACCTACAGCAATATGGCCAACAACTACAAAAATAGCAGCAGAAAAAACGGAAACATTGCAAAAAAAAAAAAAAATAACAAATACTGAAAAACTTTTCATTCTGCACGCACACAAAATAAAATCAAACAGGAGAATGAACACAGGACATGACATATGCCACAGGACATATGGCGGCTGATATTTTTGGCCATGTTTTCTGTGCTGTTATTTATTTGCTTTTGTTTCATTTTTATGTTTTTTTTGTTGGCATTTTGATGTGGTTTTTGCGCGAGTATTTGATCTGAATCTGGTTGAGTGGCAACTTTTGGACCTTTGCTGCCAGATTTCACCTGTATGTTTAACAAAGTTTTGAGTTTTGCTTCCACTTTCCCTCTGCCAGTTCATTTTTTTCCAGCTGCATTCGCATTCGTTGCAGAACTAAAGTACTTAAGCAATTTTTATCGCCAGACTTTGTCAGTTCAAATTGTTTGCTGTTTGCTTCAAACTTGTCCAAGTCGATTTTTGAGCTCAACCAAAAAGTTTCTCTTCCTTCTGCAAATTTTAGTTTACTTACTGCTTACGAGCAAGCAGAAAGCAGAAACCAGAAGCAGAACCTTAACCAAAACCAGAGGCAAACATCAATTGAAGCAACATCATAAATGCTACAGCATTTATGCCTTAGCCTTACATTGTGGGCGTGGCATGCTAAAAGGCTGGCCTGGGTTATTGTCCTTACTTGGTCGGTTTTGGTCCTGTGGAAGTTTGCTTTGACACTTTGACATTGACAATGATGTATGTGCTGACTACTTTAAGTGCAAATGTGTATGTGTGTGCGAGTGTGTGTATCTCAGTGTGTGCGAGTGTGTGTGTGATGTGTTTTGGGGCGTGGCTAGGCTTTGTCATTAAATATCGATTAGTCAAGTACGCAAAACTGAGTTAATAGCTGTCGCCATTCAGTTCAAAGAATTTATAGCAAATTAAAGTTCTCATTGAAGTTGCTCCGTATTCAAATTGTTTAAATTCGTAATTATTTTTATGAGCAAAAATGCAGAACTAATTTATGAAATTGCGTTATTTAATTGATGCCAGTAATTTGTCAGACTATAATTTATTACATCTGTTGCACTCAGTCAACTTTTGATTCATTAACTATTTATATTTATAAATCAATTTACATTGCCAGTTGACCAATTTCATATTCTGGCAGCTAGAAAGTAAATTCTTTATGCCACTAGTGAAATGCATTTTTATTTTCACAATTTTTCATTTTTCACATTTTTGTCGTTTGGTTTGTTTAGCATTTTATTGGGAAAAATTCATGATGACATGGCCAAACGAATTGTTTTATATACGCTTTTGTTTTATTGCTGTCATGCGGACAATAAAAACAACAACAAAATATATATGAAATATAAACGATTTGCTATATGTATGTACTATATATGTTGGATGGCTTTGCATTTGTCTTTTTCAAATATGTTTGCCATTGATTGAATGTATATGTATGTGTGTGTACACACACACTACTTTCATCTATATCTATTTGGCTTTTGTTTTGCGCTTGCAGATTTGAATCTCAAATTGTCATTGGTAAATAATTAATGACAAAGTGGTTGTTGTTGCTGGTGTGCGAAACTAATTAAATGTGCACACTGTACATATTTAAGCTATCTATAGCTCTGTCTGTGTGTGTAGATAGGTCTGTGTGTCCGTGTGTGTGTGTGTGTTATAGCCACACATAAAAACCATTGCAATTGTGTGCGTATTTGTGGTTTACGCCTATTTTATTGTTTCATCTACTAATACCCTTTATCCTTGACCCCACCACCACCAGTCGTGTCACACATAGCTGTCAATTTAATGACGCATTCGATGCATCATCAAACAATGCCATCGACTGAATGGCTGAATAACTGAACAATTGCAAATGCTTTTGTCCATTTGACATTGCATTCAGAGAGCCCAATGAGCGAGAATGTGTGTGCGGGTAGGGGTATTAACCTCAAAAGGATATGCAGAAGTGGCATTTAGCTTGGCAAGCATATTTTGTCAAGAATGTTATTTTTATATTTCACACACAGAAATGATCTAGAAATAAGCAGAGCTTTGACAAAAGTTTTGGGGTATTATGATTTGAGTCGTTTTGATTCATATTTGAATATAAATTATGTTCATCAGTTCGTTATTTATAAAATATGCATTGCTTTGTCTGCTCTACGCACACACACAGTATGTGTTTTGTGTGTGTGTGTGGGTGTGTTGTGCATAATTTAATTATGCGCGTTTGCCATGCGATATGCAAACATAATTTTGTTGATTTTCTATGGCAACTGTCGTCTGTCGTCTATTTGTCCTTTGGTGTGTGCACCTGCACCAATTTTAATTGTTTTATTTAACATTTAAAACCAATTTATATTTATGAAATTGCCAGCCGCACGTTAACTCACACGCAGCCATAGGGCGTATACGCAACATTTCCATTTTGTCATTAAAATGTGCGAAACATGTCGCGAAATGTGCCCCGTGCCAATTTTGGTTTGCGTGTTTGCCACGTTAACCTGTTATGCAGGTAATTAAAATGAATGTGCGACGTTGTCAATTTTTATGTAGCCGGCAACATTTCGTATGCGTAATGCGTAATATAAATAATATATTATACTGTTACAACAGAGCAAGCAGTGAGTAGCAGCAGCAGCAGCAGCAGTTTGTTAATTAATTAGCATGCTGTTGTGTGGCGAGACAAAATTTAAGCCGCTTCAACGAGTCGTTTCAAGTGTTTGGCTGCAAATCGCATTAGTTGTATTGCGGACAGCAGCAGCCGAAAGGCAACGCCAGGATACACAGCCAGGATCCCAAAACGAAGAGC